TACAAAGCCAATGCGATGATACTGACAAGACACTGTCTGACAATATACGCGTTGAACGTGAACAGTTTCATGCTCGAGTCGGAGCTGCGCAGTAGCAAAGCCCAACGATAGCCTCTCACAATGTGGAAATCGACATCGAAAAGCTGTGGAGGCATATGATTCCTGGAACGCCCGGAGTATGGCCGGCGTAATACCCTCGACCTCTCGTCGCGCCAAGAGATCCACCACAGCGCCCTCATATGTGTGGGCAAGCTTGCTGAAGAGCGTACGGTCGTTATCAACGACGTAGGTCTCAATATCTGGACAAATTTGTGAGCTCATCGAGGCGGCTATAATGAAGAGACAGTTTGCGTTCTAAACTTACCTGGAGTATTGTCGCCGTCAAGTTGGCTAACTAGGTGTCTGAAACTCAGTACATCTGCCATCAAGCCGTAGATCGGTATATCCAGAAAGAGGCTGAGCCGATTCTCTGCATGTGGAATGTTTGCCCAGTCCGGCGACAAGTTCTGAGTTGCACCAAGTCCAAATGCGTGCAAATAATCTTCGTGTGTTCCGTGTAGCCGGTCTAGATGACGTCGAAGGGGTCGACCTGGGCGAAGATCTCTTCTGGAAGCATATTGCAAGCAGTGCTCGATCCAAAACTCTATTGCATATGGTAACAGCCTGTAGTTGCCGCTCGCGATGAGAGCAAGATAATCTGAGGAGTTGCTTCCCAAGCGTACGAGTTCCAGGCCGCGGATGATGACAATGGCGCATGCGCACGATATGTCTAGTGCAACATCGACTGCTGGAAGAATTTGGGGTATTTGAGCCTTCAGAAAGTATCTACGCGATCGTTAGACACGATGAATCCACTTTTTTGGTAGACTTACTCTTTCACCGAAAAGTGGACAGGTACTATCGTCGAATCCGGAAGTTCTTCGATAAGAGGCTTGCAATGGTCTAGTATGGAAGCGACAGGAATACTCCGCATCTGAGTGCCTATATCGTCTGAAAACATAGACAGCGCCTGCAGTAGCTCTGATTTATGCAAAGGCCTTCGTGAGAAGCATATCCAGCTCATGATGCGCGGCACGCCTCCGTAACTTTGGGCACCTGGGGCGCTGCAGAGACGAGTTACGATCCGTTTGTAAAGGTCTTCCAGATCAGAGGGAAGATCGTCGACGATAGTACGGAGTTCCTCAGGGCTATATACCGTATCGAGTGATTCCAGCACGAGGCTCACCCACAAGAACATACCTGTCTGAGTGTTAGAGGACGTGTTGTCGTTCAACAGACTGAGCAGGACGTACCCTGAGATTTCTCCAGCAGAGTCTTCTTGACATGAGCCATAATCGAGGAATCTGGGTCGAGCTGTTCGAAGTGCTCGGGAAGATCAGAAAGCTTATCATTGATAAAACTGGCAATCGCACGAGTGACTGCAAGACCTTCATCACCACCGCTGAGAGAGATCATCGTTGACAATTTGTCCTTCTTGCGCCGCGAGGTGGCCATGGTGTCTCGGCTCGCGACCATGATCTTGCAGACATGGGAAGACTGGTCGGTTGAAACCATCTGCGAAAGATCATCGAGAAGCTCCTTTTGATCCCGTGAAGTCCATTCGTCAATACCGTCTACGATGAGTCGCACGGATCCCAAACCTCGGAGAAGTTCAGGGAGAAGTGTCAACAACGCTTTCTTCGTGGGTTGAGGATTCGACTTAAAACAGACGTCGTGGACGTAGATGGCGAGATCCTGATGTTTTTGGATGACCTGCGATATGAGAGATCGCAGCAGACGGCTGGGACCATCGGAGCGGCTTCCGCGGAAACTGCAGAAGTAGTAGAAAACATGGAAGTCGTTTGCCTCAGTGTGTTGCACAAGAGCAGAGCAGATCATTGACTTCCCTTCGAACAGGTCAGCAAATGACTAGCCGCATCGGCGGCAGTTGAACATACCAGCCCCTGGTTTACCACAAAGCCACAAAAGCGGAATCTTTGCGCTATCTCCTAGCCATAACTCAGTTGCTTTGTGCTGTATGAACCAATCGCAGCTCCGTGGTAAGTAGTCTCGGAGGTGCCAGTCAAGCAAGTTGGCTGGGAGGGTATCTGTCGTTCCTAGCCAGGCTAAAACCTTTTGAATCTTGACCTAGAATTGTTATAGAGTCAGTCCGTGTATCAAAAACACTAATTGCAGCAGTGTATACTGACAGCAGTCCACTCGCGCTCTTGTTGCTCCCAATTTTCATCGTCGGCTTTGCTACGTCGAACGGATTCAGCGATGTCCGCTGCGGCAGCTTCTTTGTCGGCTAGCTCGGTATGGTACGCCAGATCATTCAGTATCCCGCTGAATCGAGATTCGAAGCCAGCCCACGTAGAACTGAAGAATATAGACCATGCTATAGCTAGTTAGAACAACATCAGGTCAGGCTGCTGGTGTACTTACATTTTCTTCTCACAAACTTGTAAGCTCGACGATGGAACTCTACAATGTCAGAATATACTAGAGCTAGTACATTTTGGAAGTTGTGATCGTTGACAAGTGCATCGCCAAGACGATCCATGCGAGAGACTATGTCTCCAATCTTGCCGTAGGCTTCTATGAATTTTTCGAAGGCACTGATAGAATCGGCCGTGATCTGTCTTCACAGTAAGTACACGGTCGCTGCCTGAGCGTGCGACTTACCATAAGCATCAGCTTTACTGGTGCCCAAATCCATGGCAGAAACGGTGTCCCATTGCAGAGCACCTCAACTACCTTGGAGTAATGCTCCATTCCCTGAAGGAATTTGTCCAGCCGGGCCATGCATCTTTGAGTCCGGCGAGCGCGAAGCTGGCGCTCGATCCGTATCGCCTCATCGCGGACATCCTTGAGCTGGGTGTTGTGGAACAGTCGCTTGTCGTCTGGCGCTACGGTGGATGCAAACCGCTCGAACGCGTCTTGAAGCGTGACGCGGGCTTGGGCGGAAGGGGCCGCCGCCATTGTACCGAGGTTGGGCCGTGCGCACGTGTGGCACGTCACCAAGGCGCGATGGAATCTCGGGCAGAAGACGTTTCGACTACAACACTCGTCACTTTATGGACACAATGATGGTACTGTGGACAGGGGGGAGATGAAGGGCAGCTTGTAGACGGCACGCTCAAGGTTGACAGCACATGCGCATGAGTGTACAGCCTCGTAGGCAGACACGCTCAGCCCCAGTGGCTTGCAATAGCTCGCCGTATCCAATGGATGCACTCAAGCTCTCTAAGTTCAATCATTCAACATGGTGATGTGCGAGACACCGTCTTTCTTGTCTTCAGACAGTGCACAATATGCTTGCATGTCCTCCTGAGATCGTCGTCGATGATTTCGCTGCTCCAGCTCCAAAGCGACGGCGATTCGATTCCCCTCATGTGGAGAGCCTCACACTCGAGAGCGCTTGCAATACATTGCAACCACCACCACCGCCTGGCTACGTGACCGCAGAAGATGTAGGAGATGAAACTTTAGTGTGCTTTGGTATGGTTAGTTGCGTTCTGCTCACCTTCGTGGTCTCTGCTTACGTTGCTCAGATATCGGATCTAAAAGTACACAGTCCTAACCATCATGTCGCATCCTCTATTCCTGCGCACGACGCGATCCGCTTCGAATCCCCTCGCACAATAATTCGCGTTAGTACCAATGCTTCGGTCGGGCGGCTGGACGACTATGGGGGCGAGCTGCTCTTGCGGCTGGTTGCCGACGATGAGCTCGTACTACAACTTGTACTCTTTTCGGCTCCCATCGCTCCCCCGATAGAACGGAGGAAACACAGGGGCGCTTTGACGTATATCGGCGCCACAATATATGGTCCCAAGCGCCGCTCCGGTGATGTGGGCGAGTTCTTGAATCAAGCCGGTTGCTACTTGGACGACCCTGTTGGATGTGACCGCAACGTACCCTACACGAACCCTCAATGCCTCTTCACTCTTCACGAGCCCCCACCAATGACATTTGATTTGTTGCAGTCACACGAAGCAAAGATCAACAGCTTTCCACAAGCCTCTCTAGGTATTTTGTCCGGTTTTGAAACTACTGATAAGTTCGAGTTATCAGCTAGCCCGGCAGCTCTAAGGACAGAGTTGAAAGAGTACGTACGCCGCCGTAAAAGAGGTCAATTGGCTGACTCAGAATCAAAGGCATCAGAAACAAGCCCTGACTTTCTTCCTGCGACGCGAACGAGGTATGCATCCAAACAAGGATGGTGTTGGTATATGGCTGCGGAATATAAGCGCGGGACAATCTACGTGCGTATGCCCGAGCTATTATCTCACGTCTCAATGCTGAACCTTGGTGTGCTTCAGTTTTGTGAACGCTATGACTGGTGAAGTCCAATCTGCGCCTGGCCCGGTGTGGAGTGGTGGATTGCTCGCCGATGATATGGGCCTTGGGAAGACGCTGAGCATGATCGCTCTGATCGCTTCTGACCAAGATCGCCGTTCAGACAATGATCTGTCTACAGGCTACCCCACATCCGAGACTTCCATACCATCGACTCTGATAGTGGTGCCACTGAGCTGTATGAGTGCATGCATCCTACGATTTCACGCATGCTGACGCCATTTGCAGTATTCAGTGTCTGGGAATTGCAGCTACAGAGGTTCGTCGTCGCAAACTATGCCAGATACGCTTACTGACCGTCATCAGCCACGTCCATCCCGGCAAATTAACATGGTGCATGCACCACGGCAACCGAAGGTTCAAGCTGAAGAACCACAAAAGACCGCCCGGTAGGTTGTATCTAACGTACACACCACAGATAATGCGTCGACTGACGAGCCGCTGCATCACTAGAGATTGTGTTCACTACCTACCAGACTCTTGAGGGGGAGAATCGCAGGAGCGTTCGGAGCAGCGACTCTATATTCTCGCACCACTGGAGGCGAGTCATAATCGACGAGGGTAAGCATAAATGGCCCCCACATTTTGTATTTCCATACTGACTGTACTGCTCTCCAGCACATACAATACGCAATCATAAGACATCTACTGCGCACGCAATGGCCGCACTCCGCGCGACTTCAAGATGGGCAGTCTCGGGTACCCCAATCCAGAATAGCCTACTCGACTTCCATGGTCTCTTCAAATTTCTTCATTTCGCCCCATACGATGATCCAAAAGCTTTTGACGATGACATTTCGAGCATATGGCGTACCAAAACCGTCGAAGAAGCCAGTGAGACATTCAAGAAGCTACTATCGTGCTTGATGATCCGACGAACGAAGACTATCCTGGATTTGCCCAAGAGAGATGACCATCTGATGCGTGTGCCATTCAACCACGAGGAAGAGAGATATTATCGCCAAATCGAGCAGCCCGTCATGGAAATGCTAGACCGCGACACACGAGACGACAGCCAAACCCAGGTTCCTTGGATGACTGCTATACAGCAGATCAACAAGCTTCGTCTTATCTGCAACCTAGGCGTCTCCACTCATTCGCAAGCCGACTGCAACTCGCAACCTGGCGGCGAATCCGATGACAAGACATCCGTAATGAACACACGCTTCTCAATGGACGGAGGATCATGTGAGCTGTGCTCCCAGCCAGTCGAACTATCGACACTCGGCAGCAGTCTACGGAATATTGCACAACCACAAGTCTATTATTCAGCTTGCAGCAAGTTCTACTGTGCAGAGTGTTCCGCGAGCCTTCAATATCGATCACCCGAGCCTTGCGCATGTATAGATCAGCCGCGACAGTGTCAACTCCATCTCCTGGCGCCCTTAGCCACTCCCAGCATTATGCCTACCGACGGTCTTTCTCCCTCACCAATGGATTGGGACTATAGTAATGAAGCCTCAAGTAAAGTATGGGCGCTTATGTCGCAGATCAGGTCGCGTCCACATGAAAAGCAGTGAGTCTACCAGCATCATTGGGCACCTTACCAGACTAACCTTTAGCTAGTGTCGTATTCTCGTCTTGGACGTCCAGTCTCGATATGGTAGAGAGAGCGCTTCGGTGTGATCCACATCAAATCATTCAATCCGTCCGAATTGATGGCAAGGTTACGCTGAGGAACCGCAGTATCGCTATACAACGCCTTCAAGATGATCCTAGTATTCGCGTCATACTCATCACCATCGCCTGTGGTGCCTGTGGGTAAGTTTACGAAGACAACACACGCTAAACTCGAAGGCTGGCTAACGGGTATCTCAGTCTGGACCTAACCGCGGCATCGACAGCTCACCTTCTCGAACCTCAGTGGAACCCATCTCTTGAAGACCAAGCACTTGCCCGCGTCCACCGGCTTGGACAGCTTCATACCGTGACCACTATACGTTACGTCATGGAAGACTCGTTTGAAGAGGTACTCATGCCGCAGTGAGATTGGAAAATTGAACTAACGAGTACATCAATAGCACATCCTCGAAGTTCAAGATCGCAAGAAGCTGCTCGCCACCACGCTCCTATCGAATGGGTCTTCGCTGGAGGTAAGCAATGCGCACACATGGACGTTCGAGATAGCCCTCAGATACTGACAAGACGTTTTCAGAACCTGCGACAACTGCTGCATGAAAGGAAGGGTGGTCAACATACTTGATGGAACGTAAGAGCATCGATGGCTAAACGCAATATATCCTTGTTATCATTCATACCCGAATTCCAGTTCCTGATAACTGGCAATACTGTCATACGAGAGTACCATTGTGTTCAGGGTGGTTGTTTGCGGAAGTCGTGACTGAATCGCCGCCCGCTTGGCTTCATCGCGCACAACTTCAACATTGTACTGACGCAAGCTTCTATGTGGATCCTTCCCCAGGTACCTTAAGTAACCTCTGCCGTTAAGTATCTACTTTCTAGCTTGTGATGATATATGACTCTTGCGCATGCTTCTGCGCCTCCCTCCTCGCAGGCGGCTGGTGTTGATGTAGGTGGCCCGTGCGGATCGCGTCTTTACGCGTCGGCGCGTCATCCTCCTTCCATCGCAGGAAGAATTTGCGAGCACTACATCCCCAATGACCAGCGACACCCGCACACCACCAGCGTATATGCCTTCGATTACACGCGGAAAGTTACGGCCAATGTTTGCGCATTCCGCGTGCTGCTACATGGCGTAGCGCGTGTCACGGACTTCCAGACAGCATGTTCAGAAGCTGCGCACGGTAATCGTTGTATGCCTTTTTGCGCGCTTCTTCTTTCTTATCAAACTCCACCTTCTCCTCTCCGCTCAACCTCGCCGAAATCACGTCGGCGCTTTCGCGCTGCGCATTCTCGCGTTGATCAGCCTGGCTCAGCTGTTCGTAATAGAGAAGAGACGTTGCACCAAGACGGCGACGATGGCAGCTACCCAGGTTCTCGTCCAATCCGCCGGTTCCTTGAGGACGAGGCTGCTGCGCGAATGACAACACTGCAAAGGGTGAGCCGCTGCAATTAGCGACGTGGCCTCCAAGTGAAAGGGTGAAGACTATGCCATCATGCCATGGGCGACGGTTGGTATTCTCTCCCTTTGCTGCACAGATCGTGCGTGGCATTTCCTAGATTGGCTTAGCGTATATACCCCGCACAAAAGCACGTGACAAGGTCTCCATCCCAACGCCACTCCGCGCAGCCTTGAGAGCAGCTTGATACAGTCTGTTCATGCTCGAGAAATAATGCCTGGCGATGTTCAACTCGTACTCCCGCGCCGCGATCCGACAATTGAATGATGGTATCAACGGAGGAGAGCTGTGCGTGCCATGCCAGATAGCTCTAGAAGAAGACGAGCGTGCGGGCTTCGCTAGCATTGGTACGTCAGCCTGGCTGAACAACGGCTTCAGAGAATACGATGAATACCAGCATCTTACCGAGCCTGTTCTTTATTGCGACTGTTGCCGTCATGTTCTTCGCGCCCGAGACTTCCGGAGACGACAAGGAAGAGGTCAAAGTCCATCGGTTGATGCGCAGAAGTATGCTGGGGACTTCAACGGGCTGACAACGTGTGTGTTTCTGCATGATGATGACCTGGATTTGCAGGGGTATGAGGCGGCATTGAACGACTTCAAGGTCCAGAAATCAGAGTATAGTCGAACAGTGAGACATCACTGGGCAGATTTGGGATTGATCAAGAGTTGGCTTGATGACTGCGAAAAAGATCACGATCACGCCTGCAATGAGCACCAAACATCAGTTACTGATACTGGGTCACTTCTGCTTCTCGATGTCATCGATGATTGTCTCGCGGTTGGGAACTTCAAGAATCGGTATTTCGCCTTGAGTTACGTCTGGGGCGCTTCAAAACAGTTCCTTACCCTGATGGAGAATTACGACCAGTTGTGCCAGCCTGGAACTCTTTCCAAGCAGCCTTTGACCCAGACCATCAAAGACGCGATGACTTTTGTCAGGAGCCTGGGTGAGCGATACTTGTGGGTTGATACGATGGTAGGCAAATTCAGCATGAATAATTGAGGCCTCCACTTACGAAACGCAGTGCATCATCCAAGACGACGCTGCTAACAAAGCGAGCGCTCTCGCTCAGATGTGCGCAATCTACAGCTGCGCTATGGCCACGATAGTGGCTCTAAACGGAGACTCAGCCGACGCCGGCCTACCTGGCATTCTGCCTACGGCCCGTAACACCACCGCAACCTTCGTCACCCCTGGACTACACATGGTGGAGCGATCATCCCTGGAGAACATGTTAGCAAATCACACCTACGATGGTGTAGACGTCGATTGTGTGTACAACACGCGCGCCTGGACATTCCAGGAACGATTACTATCCAACCGGAGCATATACTTCCTCGGTGAACAGGTGTATTTTCACTGCAAGAAGCAGCTTCTGTGCGAAGACAGGTACATTAGCGATGACACCAGCTTCTACACCCTGGACAAGATGCGTACGACCAGCACAGAACTGAAATCCAAGACTGCTCGAGCTGGCACATATAGTCCACTGGACGATTTTCGTTGGTACGAAGAGATCATCGCAGAATACACGGCAAAGAAGATGGGGTACCCGGACGATATCATTAATGCTTTCACCGGCATTCAAACTATGCTAACTCGCATGTTTGATTGGCCATTTGTCGGCGGCCTCCCGACTCCCCTTCTGGATCTCGCATTACTTTGGACCCCTGTCACTACCATCGAGCGGAGACTGACAGCCTCGCAACAGCCAAGCTGGAGTTGGTCGGGCTGGGTTGGGCGAGTCCGATACGCAGACCTGGTGCGCCCAGGGCATAGGCCGATAAGCTCGTTGTTCAAGCCGCTCGCCAAACATCAGCTCGCCATGCCAGCTACGATTGTGTTCGAGTGTATGAGCGTCCCTCTGAAAGCGTTCGAACTCTCCAAGGCTCCAAAGGGGCTCTTTGACCCATTCCAGAGCACATCTAGCCCCATCACCGAAGACTCATACTACGTCTTTGACAGCAATAAACGTCGCTGCGGCATGCTCATAGGCCTTCCGCAAGAGCATGTGCCTTCCATCGCCAGTATGGGCCTGAAGCTCCTTGCACTGTCAGCGTGGAAGTCGAACAACAGTCTCACGAAGAACGGGCCAGTCATCTCTCATCTCTCGGATAATGGATATTTCTCAGACGAAGAGGTGTACGATCAAGCTCTCCGCGATGCAGAGTGGTGTACTTACAACGTCATGCTCGTTCGCTCCGTAGGCGACGCATATGAGAGGGTCGCAATGGGACAGATGCACTTAGACGCGTGGCATGGAGCGGGTGAGACGCGGGGAAGGTTCGCGGTGAATTGATCATATGGCGACACAGTAACAACGCACAGCTATAACTCAGAGCATGAACAGCGGCAACATGATACACATCCCTGGAAAAGCTCAAGAAGTGTATATTTTCCCAGTGCCTATATGTACTGTTCGATCATTGAGTAGGCACGTCGCGCGTTGTGCAATTGTCTTGCAACATCTCGCCAAACCAGCTCGCTTTTTGGGGTGTTGCCAAAGCCTTCCGCATAACAAGGTCTGCCATCAACAAGGCAGTACCCTGTTCAGTCGGTGGACGCCACCCTCCTGAGAACGGAACCTTCCTCAGATGGATCCTCGAATATGCCGTGCCGCAGTCTGGATGCATACGTATGCTAAGCATTATCTGACTTGGCCTCAAAGTCGCATGTCCTCTTTTTGATAATAAGCGGGTTGATATCACCGTTGTCTCTCCAGCACTTCGATTTGCGCGAGGATCACATCCTTGCACCATGGGAGCGGATTGTTTGTCATGGCGCTGTACACATTCTTAAGGTACTGCTCTGTGGAGAGCCCGTCGGTGCATATAGCAGGGATCATGCCATGTCTGGCGACGTGTGTAGCGAACAAGAGGCGTGATGTTCGGCCGTTGCCATCTGGGAATGGATGGACGCTGACGTAGTACAGAGTGTCCCATACACCCTTGATCAGAGGATGTATGTCCTCTTGGTCGTGCGCAGCGAACCTTGACCACCTTTCCAGATTCGCTTCCACTTCGCCTGGATAGGGGAATATGGCCTTTGGGTTCGACCGAACCTGGATTGGCATGTGGCGGATCAAGCCAGCCTTGAACGGAATCTGCATGCCCCGAAACAGTATCCTTGATATCATCCGTATGTCCTCTAGGAGGTTCTCCGGGGTTGATGCTCGCTCGATATATGTACTCGATAGTACAGCCTGTAGTGCAACAATGTTGTTGCGCAGTTCGAGATACTCTATCTCCTTGGACTCCTCGCCGTTGTCGAGTTTTATCAACTCGCTCGAGGATGGAAGCCGCAAATTCATCGCGTTGAGCAACGCGCTTCCACCGTCTTTTTGCAATGGTATGGCCGCTTCGACCTTCTTTGCGGTCGCTAACGATAGACTGTTGTGTTCTATGGCGCAGCTTCTCCAAGAAAAGTTTGCAAGCACGTTACTACAAAACATTGTAGTATCTTGCATGATCTTTGATGGTGATGTGTCCTCAGCTCTTAGCTGGAAATCTTTTCGCATCGTATCCAAGTATGCAAGTTCTCGACGCATTTGGTGTTGCGCATTTCTCCAGGGTGCTGCATTTCGTATCTGGTAGATCTTGTCCCATACTGTTCCGGAACGGGCGAGCGTATTCCACTCCGGTCCATCTTCAAGAAGACCGTCGAATTGCGCATAATGCTTTCTGAGGAGGGTGTTTCGCGCGCGGATGATTTCTTTCGTCCACTTCATGTTGTTTACGTTGCTGATTGTCTGTTTGTGTTGACGTTCTGAAGTTTGGTGCAGGTCAACAGAATCTTTTCGGAGGTTTCGGGTGCTAGTAGCTGCACTTCTATGGTACTTGCCCCTACTTCCATGGTACTCTCTCTGACTTCCATAGTACTTGCACCCACTCAACCATAGCATAGCAGCGGCGAAGGTCCCAAATCCAGCATCACTCGCACTCGCCATACCATTGTAGTATCTTACGATATCGTTGATGGTAGTTAGTCCTCAGCACTTAGCTGGAACTTTCTCCGGAGTGTATACATATGTGCGAGCTCTCGATGCATTTCATGTTGTGCACGTCATCCTAGGAAAAAGCTAAACAGGTCTGCAGCCTACATTAACGTAGAAACCTACAAAGTAGGTGGCCTAACGTTGATGTAGGCTCTAGGCCTGCTCAGTCTTTTCCTTGTATAAGGTTTGTGCATCTTTCTAGGGTGATGCATTTCTCCCACAGCCTGCATTAGAGGAAATCATCTGAGCCAGCCCACGCGCACAGATTGTAAGAGGCCAGTACAAGACGCCGACGTTCCTTTTTCATGGCACGAGCGATGACTTGATCCCCTGGGAGCAGTCGCAGGCGACGTACGAGGCGCTCGTAATGAAAGGTGTGTCATCGGGCCTTGCTATCGTCGAGGGTGCGCCGCATATCTGCGACCTCAGTAGCAATCCCGAATCGGAAGGTTGGAAGGCTGTGTTGAAAGGCTATGATTTCCTTTCTGCCGCGATAAACCATTTCGCTTCTGCTGCTGCCGGGATTCCATCTGAGCGGGTTCTTTCGGTTGCGATAGCCCTTGTCCGAGAGGCCTTCAACGTAGAGGGTGTAGTGTGGATTCGGAATTCATGGGTGGCTCATTCGCGATGGGATAACTCGGTATCAAAGAAAATTTTGACTTTGAGAAAGTGCGCAAGCGACGACTGTGGCTGCTGGTAGTATGGGCATATGCGAGGCTGTTGGAGTGTGGGCAGGCCAATCCCAAGGCCCCTGGAAAAGCGCGGGGCTGGGCAGGGTCCAATGCGCTAACGACATATGCTCGACCCCCGCGTCATTGTTCCCTGCTCTACACATCGTGTGCCGCAAAAGCATTGCGCCCACCAGAGGTTGAGTAATCCAACTAATCCGAAGTAGCCTGCGACAACATGTGGTCCTCTACACGTTGCCACATCCGCTTGCGTGCTGCTCCTTCTCTTTGCGCATCGAAATCGCTGCCAGCCGACTCATTTCCGTCGCACAGTGTTGCGAAAACTTCCCGAACCCAATAAAACCATTTGCTTCCTTCCGTGTTCGCTCGCCTGTCGCATAGAAGGACAGACCACAAACAATTTGCGATGGCAGGTTCAAGGCACTGTAGCCTGTTGTGGGCTTCTGGTGCGATATGCACGTATCGCATTCAAGGGGTACCCACTCAAGTGGGAACGCATTCCGCAATACTTTTGATCGACACCGAAACATGGCATGACGGTCTCTTCACTCAGGAACGGCGAATCGGATCGAATGATATGGTAGTAATAGAGAGTACAATCGCAGCGCTGACATGCATCTCACTTACAGGGATGGTGGGGCCAAATCATTGGCAGGCCCCCAAATCAGCCGGATTACCTGCTGTGCCACTCGACCTGATACTAGATTCAGCGTTAAGAGAAGCTCTGCAAGTCGTCCTGAAATTTCTCTCCCTACTTTGGCAGCTATCTTCGAAGCGACCTGAGATATCAATCTACCGTAAACAATGCACTCGTATACGGACTCCTCGTCCCAGGAGACCGCCGTGAGCGGACGCCAACTCGAACCAAATGAGCCTTATGAACCATATGAGACCACAACGAGATCGCGAACTGAGTCCATTGGCTCATGCTTCAACGTGAGCCCAGTGCTTCGATCAAGTTTCGACCCAGTCTCGACTCCCACTCCATCTCCATTTTCAGACGCAGCCTTGGAATCGTTGGAAGCACCTGCTTCTTCAGAGCAAACTAGAAGTTCCATCGAGCACTCGCCTGGCTCTCTGCTCGGTAGACGCCCCAGGTGGAAACCGACATGGATAACGCCTGTCACGATACTAGGCTTCTACTTTATATGTAAGTATGATAAGTAGTGTTGAAAGTCAGCTTATCCACGATACTAACAGCGTCTAATCAGCTTTCATTTGTGCAGCAACGCACTACTGCTTCTTCGCATACCTCGACGGTCGTATCATATTCTCAGGCTCTATGCCCTCCGCAAAGACCACGACAGTCCCACAAGCCTACGCTACTACGGTATCGCTAGTGCTAGTCACCGCGTTTCGTGCTGCACTTGTAGCAAGCATTACAACATGCTATACACAATACCTTTGGGCGACATTCCGAAAGCGTGCTCTCAAGGTACTATTCTTCTCAGTCCAGCTAGCGGAACCGAAGCTTACAATATGCAGATCAGCCTAATCGAAGATCTTTTCCAAATGCAAACAAACCCGCTCCGGCTTCTCAACTATCATCTGTACTTCAAAACGCCAATACTTGTCGGTGTAGCTATGTTTTGCTGGCTTGTACCTATTGCAACGTTATATCCTCCGGGCACTCTAGTCGTCGGACTACAACTTTCCTCAATTGGTCAAAGCTTCAATGTGTCCGTCTTTCACCATAGGAATCTCCAAGACATTACGGACGGCAATCTTATAGTCCCAATAGCTTGTCCGTGTGATTGTGGCGAACTACGTACATGCTACGGGTGTAATCCGCCGTTCCCGGAAGCGGTACAGAATCCGTCGTTGCTAGAAGATTGTTATCCGACACGATAGTTAGTCCATCTCGTTCCAACCAAAGCACAGCATTGCCAAGGTCATATTTGGTATATACTAACTTGTCTATAGCATGAGCGCTACTATGGATCACATCATACGCTCAAACTTGATTGCGGGCGAGATGTCTAGGATGAGGCAAGCAAGCAGAGAGAATACATCGTATGAACTCAATTTTCTGGGAACCACACTAGATTGCGAGACTAAGAATCGCTCCCTGGAAAGCACAATCTTGCAATTAAGCCCCAGCAATTGGATTCTGAATCGTCCAGGGGATATCTGGCAGATAGAATATCCCGAGTCCAGCTGCGAGTTGAGAAACTACGAGAGGTTAGACGTTTTCCCTGGGAATACATCGATCACCTACCGGGTCGGCCACTATGAAGAAAAACCACAGTACTGGCCATGTTTGGACAAAGACACATGGAAACCCATACGTGATCACTCGCTAGATACATATGCACAGGTCGTCGACTTCCCAGACTCTGGCATACATATTGTTGTACCTACAACCGAAACAGTGTGTCAGCCAAGGATAGCGAGATATCACGTCACCATCTCACAAGTTGGCGGAGCACAACACATCTCTTATGTGATTGGAGACGAAGAATCTCTACCGGCATATGCGATACGTTTTGGCGACTTCAACGGAAGTTTTGAGCAATGGTCACAGCTTTCCGACGCTATATCAATTTACCAGAGCTTTGCCTCGAATCTCAATCAGCCTGGAACAAGGGTCGTAATAAGCAATTTTGAGTATCCCAACATGTCGAACGAGACGAAACCTTACACGACTGGAAATGGTACTGTCGTGGAAACATGCGTGCTTGAAGCCGAAGGTTCGTCAGCGGGGGACACTGGTGTATCAGATGCGATCTGGGACCTCGGTGTTTTCGAGCAACGACTGCATGATATTGATCTGAGTTATGACTGCCCAGCATTTGACCCTGACATGGCCAACGAGCTCCTCATCAACACCACAATCTCGGCACTGGCCCTAAACCAGCGATTTGACACTGTCAACGGCACAGAGACCCGCACTTTCAATATCTACCGCTTCGAGAACAAGCTCGTCTTCTTCCTCCCATACGGTCTCTCACTCGCCCTAGCGATACCAATCCTAGTGCTAGGGCTCGTAGCTCTTTACGTCCAAAACCACGGGGTTTCGGCAATCAGTGGGGGTTTCATGCAGCTTCTGATGACGACTACTGGACGAGGTTCACTTGAAGCGGTCGTTACGAGAGGCTCGGGCACGTTGGGTGGATACGAGAATGTTTCAGAAGAGCTGCGTAGGATGGAGGTCAGATTTGGAGAGCTGGTTGAAGTCAGAGGTGGTAGAGTTAAGGAGACCGATTCGCTTTTGAGGGGGAATGATGAGCAAGTCGATGTGCACAACAATGACAGCTCACAGGCAGGTGTGCAGACTGCGTCCGGAACAGAGCGGTTCGAGAACAGCGTTTCTGTAGCGCTAAGAGCTGGCTTCGGCACGGTCGACGAAGTGATACCATTCAGGAAGAACACAGAACAGTAGTTGGAAGGGTTGTGCTCTAGGAAGCTACGAAGGGAAGAAAAGTGAGGGGTTTGTGATTAAGGTTATCTGGACACTTGCAATGCTGATGGTTCAGTTCTGACGGTGATGCTGACGTACACCAGAAGTCAATTCGGTTAAAATCGAATCGCGGTACCCTCCGTAAAGCGGCATGTTGTGTAGCGCATTGCATTCGTGAGAACTCCAAAGGTGTTGTGATGATGAGCACAAAGAAAGCAGAAAGAAGCAAAAGCAAAACACACAACGGCGCCCCCGGTGCAATGCCTGTACGCAGCTAAGCGGACGCAAATTCAAGCCTCGACATCGAACAATACATACCACGTTCGGTTAATCTCTCTCTAGGGGTTTTCTGCTGTTGTTACTCGATACGAGTTATGGCGTCGCGGCGCGAATTTCGGTGTTTTGTCGACCGTGCTCACCGGCGGTAAGATTAAGTCGCTCTTCGATATTGTCTACGGGCCGTTTCCAAGCTTACACCCGAGCCAGGGGGAAGAATGTATTGATGGCTCCTGCCTTTCGCTCTCTCTTCTTCGCAAAGTTTGTTTTACACATTGAACCTTGAGTTCAGCCTAACTCAACAATGCACACGCGCAAAAACCAACAAGTAGCTTTTGCGGCAGTCGCATTCCTTTCTGCCTTTGCATCCAGCTCGCCAGCACATCCACTCTCGTATCGCGATGTAGCTGCCCTATCCGATGTTCACTTTCTAGCACTCCAAGAGCGTGGTATACCGGTCGTCGACTCAACTGTTCCCCTCAAGCTGCGTTCCGGCGCTGGCAGACAACTTACGAAACGCCAAAGCGGTGGGCCATTACGCACGATCTATGATGGAGCGCAATATGCCATTGACGTGACCATCGGTACGGAGACGCTTCAAGTTTTGATCGACACTGGAAGCAGCAGTTTTTGGGTACCAAAGGCCGATTTCGTGTGTGTAGACGTAAACGGCACACAACAGTAAGTCCCAATATCTTATCGAAATCCCGTCTGGTACCCAGAATCTGATATTAAACGTCCCTCGTTGTAGATCTCAGCCCACTTGCGGATTTCCAAAATTCGGCCCCAAAAGCTTTTCTGGCGGCCAAATCGCGGACCAGAACTTCAACGTAACATATGGCGGAGGGGAGTTTGCGACCGGTATTGTAGGTCTCGAAGACGTTGGCTTTGGAGGTGTGACCGTCAAGAACCAGAAGATGTCGTTCGTGGATAGAACCTACTGGCTGAGCGCAGGCAATCTGACTAGTGGGCTGATGGGTACGTACAGCATGTCGTCTGCTATGAGTGTTTGTTAACAAAAGTCACTAGGCTGGGGACTTGGTGCAACCACCGCCATCTTTGAGGGCGCGGACCCGTCCCAGGACGGCGGCAAAAAGCCCATATTCGTCAAACCATGGTTGGAGACCGCCTATGACCAAGGCTTGGTGGCAAAGCCCATCTTCTCGGTCGTACTCGGCAAGAGGGGCAAAGACGACGCGGACTTGTCAGCTACAGGTTTCCTTACGATCGGAGGAGCGCCATCGTCATCGTCGTTGCCGCTCACGGGTGCATACGCTACCACGCCAATCCTCAAAGAGACGTTTGATCACTACCAGCTGGAGAACGAGTATGTCCACTATGTCATCCGACCGGACGGGTTTGTGGTCAACGGAAAGTTCATTGCCTGGGCCCCAGGTACCTCCGCGGGGACCCATTACGGCGACAGTCAAGAAAGATTCACGATCCTGGACACCGGTACGGCTTACACCATAGCCCCGAAGGCCCTTGTAGCCACAATCGCCGCAGCCTTCGACCCCCCAGCTTCCTTCAGTCAGGATGACGGGCTTTGGGTGGCTTCGTGCAGTGCCAAGATACCTTCTGTCGCCATTCGCATCAACGGAACGGACCTTCCCTACGCCTCATCAGACGTTCTCGTCGACGGAACTCTTGGCGTAATCGACGAGCAGAAGCAGACATGCATAGTGGGTTTCATGGAACCACCTACTCCGCCCTGGGGTGGCGACCTGCCGTATATCCTCGGAGCCAACTTCCACAGGAATGTGCTAGCGGTACACGATATTGGAAACAAGGTGATGACGTTTGGTGCGCTGAAGTGGAACTGATCCCGATGTCATTGCGGCTCTCATAGCATACACAAGATTACATGTCGATGGAAAATACCTTCACATCTGTTATGACGTCAATGTCCCATTGCTCTTTAAAGATCCCTCACGTGCTTACGCGTAGTGTTCTTCCCCTTTGCGCGTTAGCGCCAGCAGTGTCAACATGACCGTCAATCGACGGAATGGTGGTTGACTCCTCCCCCTCATGTCGGTCCGAGGTCGCGACATACACTCAGGCCAAAAGATTACGCCGACAAATGGATGCTGAACTGTGCTAGCTCGGCCCTCGTAATGTAGCAACGTACCTCACAGATAAGCACATCGCACAGCTAGACGTATCACTTAATTTATTTTGTCTTAGACTTGTTGATAGGCATAGCGAGGGTAGGGTCGCCTACGCAAGGACTACCGCAGCAAGACAAAGAGCTCCAGGGAGACCCTGGATAAAGAAAATCTTGGTGTTTGCCGTGCACCCTCCATAAACACCGGCCACAAATACACAACCCGCGAAGAACAGAGCGATTTGAGGCGCAAACACGGCGCTGGGGTGGACCAAAGACCACAAGAGGCCAGCTGCCAGAAATCCGTTGTACAGGCCTTGGTTGGCGGCCATGGTCTTGGTTTTGGCCGCAAAGTCAGGCTTGAGTGCGAACGCTTTCAACCCTGCTGGTGAGGTCCAGAAGAACACCTCCAAGGCCATGATGTAGACGTGGAGCGCGGCTAGTAGAAAGACGGTTATAGAGGCGAGGAGCGGCATTGTAGGCGCAGATTGAGGGTTGGATGCGGTATCGGTATTAGAAGAGATGACGATTTGTTGGTATGGTCGGGTGTGGTGATGAGGGGGAATCAAGGTGAATAAATAACTAGAGACCACTTCGGCTTTACTCGAAAAACGCTAGTCTGAACGCGTTGCAGGATCGCTGGCGATACGGGCAATTTCCTTCCTATAATGCCGAAGGTTCTCACATTCCCGCGAGAATACGAGATTAAGCGATGAAAGTGTAGACCCCAGGGTGTTCAGTTTTTCCTGAAGTTGACATGCCCCGGGGAAAGCTATTGCGCAGATAGTTCTTAAAGCTGGGTGTTAGTTTTGTGGAGGCGGAGAGGCAAGGTTCCCAAAGGTTGAGCTGGTGGCGTTCAGGCGGGCAATCGTGGGCGCCGGCTGTTGCCTAGCCTCCCTGCACAGCCCTAGCTGACTGCGTTCATCACCGCCCCGCGTCATAAAGCGACAACCACGTCGAATGTCATCTTCTGTTCTTCTTCGCACAACATCAGCTTCACCACTAACCTTTCCTTTACATTCCATTGTTCATATTCTCAAATGCTACCCAAAGTACTGACAGCAAAATTACGTCCAGATCATGCGTCTACTAGAGATGAATGAAGATGGAGACCTTAGGCTTAAGGACCACCCAGAAGAGACTGAGCCGTATGCAATACTTTCGCATAGATGGGGTGAAGACCGTGAAGAGGTCACCTTCAAAGATGTGATGGAGCACACGTACAGGCACAAGAGAGGATACGCGAAAATCCGCGGCTGTGGAAAACAAGCAAAGTGTGACAGTCACCAGCTGTTTTGGATTGATACCTGTTGCATCGACAAAAGTAGCAGTGCAGAGCTTTCCGAGTCGATAAACTCCATGTGGCGTTGGTACTGCAACTCTCAAGTCTGTTACGTCTACCTAGACGATGTCCGTGCAGATATCGATGAGGCTGAAAAGCACACCGCGTTCACCAAATCAAAATGGTTTACGAGGGGATGGACACTTCAAGAGCTATTAGCACCCCCTAAGCTTGAGTTCTACGACGCTGAGTGGAACAAGATCGGGACGAAAGAGGAGCTAGCAGAAAAGATCAGCGAGATCACGAACATCAACAAAGACTTCCTTGGCTCAGATATCTCCTTACTCAAGCAAGCTAGCATTGCTGAAAGAATGTCGTGGGCCTCAAAAAGGAGGACAAAACGAAAAGAAGACAGGGCTTATAGCTTGCTCGGAATCTTCGACATCAACATGCCTCTACTTTACGGCGAAGGTGCGAAAGCCTTCCAGAGGCTACAAGAAGAGATCGTGAAGCACTCGGATGATCAGTCAATATTGGCTTGGACTTCACCGTCTGCTGAAATTGATAGTGGCAGCTTTTTCGCCCATTCGCCAGCTGCATTTGCCGCTTGTGACAATGTCATACGAAGCATTCAACCAGGTCCGATGAAGCCGTATTTCATAACAAATAAAGGCCTCAAGATCAGTCTACCACTCATCAGAGAAGGCAGTGAGGGCGAACTCCTCGCGGTCCTCAATTGCAGACGCCGCTATGACACATTTGGTAGTTTGGCACTTCCGGTAAAGCAGACGGGCAACAACCACCTATATCAGAGGCGAGGTGGCGAACTACAGTTCATTCCTTTTACCGATTTGCTTCTTGCAAAAGTGCAGCCAATGTACATCAGCATGAAGCCGCTTCTTGACTACTCGCCAAACTACCTGAAGGACAATACCTGTATTCTGAGCGCGCTACCGAAAGGCCTCGAAGTATCACAAATATTCCCCTCGGGTTCATGGCCTCGTGGATCGCGTACCTTTGAAGGAAATCGACATCCAGGCTCCCCGCAAGACCCGGTCAACCGAACCCTTGTGCTGCTCAGCTCGGGAACAACTCGTCGCTACCTGTTCATGACATTCTTCCATAAGAACAGGATCTTTCGTGACTGCATTTGGGATGCCCGGATTCTGCCTGTTTCCCTTGACGACAGCTCCGATATCGAACAGATCTTCAATGCATGTATCTATAAAGATCTGTCAACTCTGCAACGAGTTCACCATCTATCTTGTGGTAGAGTAGCTCTTCGGACGGTACCACAGCTCATCCAAGGCCGAAAAGTCA